TTTTTCCACCATAGCAATTACAATTTGTCATAACATCGAGAAAGCTTATTGCTTTAACATCTTAACAGAAAACAAATTATTACTATCATTTTCATTTAAAGATATACTATACTTAAATTTAATATTAAAAAACATTGATAATTGATACACAATCGCTTTGTAAGTATAAAATAAATATGTTTTGACTTGCTATGTTTGAATTCCTACACACACTGGATATGTAAGGGTAACCTTTACTGGACCCGTAATTAGGAACGCAGAATCCCATACATAGCTTGTACGTTCCTTTATTAAAATAAGACATATTTAGTGAGAATTTTATAGATTTCAATAAATTTCTGCAATAAAAATATTTTACTCAAAGATAGTATTCTTATTTAATTTCACAATACGGATCAGCGTCCTCGACAGACACACCTGGTAAAGAATTTAATAATGCATCCCACAGTTGGCACATACTCTTAATCTCATAACAATCTCGTAAAAGTGTGCCAAATGTCGTAGAATAATTCATTCGTATCTCAACAGACTGCCGAACAATATGTTTTCTAACTTATTAACCAGGTACTCTGTAAAACTGAATATTGTATATATAAATTGATTTCGGTATATGACACATTGCAGGTAGAATGGCCCCTTTTACTTTTTTTTCAGACAAAGTGTACTACAAAATAAAGTAACTTTTAATTTGTTTCCTATATAACATGTTGAAGAAGCGATTGCACATTTACTCTAAATTACACATAGCCATAAAGAATAAAGCCAGTGATTAACATCTTGATCTATTTGCTATGTTTATAGATTACGCTACGTAAATAAACATTTGTTCGGATCACCATAGTGTCCTCGGGGTGTAGTAGCAGCAGCAGCTACTGTAAAAACATCTAATAGACTAAAAAAAGTATTTTCAAAAGTGATATTTTTTATTTCATGACATTGGATCTCTTACAGAAAGCCTAGTGGTCATTTATCTCTCATGTTGATTCACACATCATGTGGTTTAGTAGTCGGTCACTTGCGGAGAATTAATTGAATACTGGTCAGTTGTCAATGAAAACAGTTTAGGTGGATTAACCGCATAGATGTTCCCATCTATGTATTTAATTGGCGTAAATAACAAAACAAACTTCAGAAAAATGTAATTCAATAACGAAATATTGTAAACCACGATTATTTATTTATTTATTTATTTACATAATTCTTTTGAAAAGCTTTATCAGTTATGAAAACTGACGGGTTGTATGATGTTAATATAATAAACGTTCCGATAGACCCCCTTGCTGGGAGATTTTGATTATGTATTTTTCATACCGGGATATACTTATATTAACGGATAGAACATATGGTATAAACTACAATCAAATAAAGATATCAAAGAAAACTTTAAATGTTGACAAAACAGTCAGCTTAATTGTCAGGTAAATCATTTGTTTGCTTTAAAGCTTATTGGTTGTTGGAATGGATGAAACAATTATCAGGTCAAATTACTTGAATTATTTCGTACTTTGTATATTTTTAAAGTAAGTGTTATGATTAGATAAATCTTGATGAGGGTCGGATGATCTTGATGTTTGTTCATTTCTTAATGAAACTATCATAAGTTAGGCTGAAATTGATTGTTACATAAACAAAATGAAAAATATTGTTTTTCTTTGCTTATAAACAACATTGGGGAAAAATAAATACAAAAAAGTTAAATAAATTAAAAAGTAAAATAAGGATCAAATTTAAGATCATGATTGATATTTGGATCAGCTGTAAAATGTCTATATCTTGTCAAGTAATTTAGAAGTTATTTTAAAACTTCAGAAACATGGTATTTCTAATTCTTTGAAATTAATATTGGTAATTAAATCTAGAGAATAAACAATTGACAATTTTTGAGTTTAAAATTTTGATCCTAATCTTGATCCTTAAATTCATGTTACACAAGATTCAAATGTTGTCGACGAAGGTGTACGAGTATATAGTTGGCACATCCTACATTTAAAAAAACCCCAAAACATGCCAGTGGTTCAAACGAATTTATTTGATATTTAATTTTCTTTTCATCGCATTTTTTTCTTGAGTAGAAACGAATCCTTAAAGTTTAACCCTGATAACGTTTGCAAAAAAAGTTTCTTCTGATCTGAGAAAATGTACGCGCAACGTGTGTAAATTATAAGGTTAATGTGGGACTAATTGGTTAATGTGGGTCTAATTAAAGATTTCTATTTTATGAAAATTATAAGAAATTGCGACTGATGATGATGGTGATTTTTGAACGCACAAAATAATTATTTACATTAGAAAGTCGAAAGGTATTAACATTTTGGGAATACCTCTTACTTTGGTGGCCCCATTAACACATTTCCCTACATTTTAGTACACAATTATCTTATTAACAGCACATATGAAAAAATAAAACAAGAACCTGAAAAATTATATAATTTATACTGGAAGCTATACTTAGAAATCTTAGTCGGCTGCGTTTCACAGAAAGTCCTAGGTGTATCCTTAAGATTTTTTCAATAAACTTTTTTATCTTTAGTTAAATACTGTATATTATAAATAAAAACATTTTCCTGAGAAAAATGAAGAAATACATTGACAGACCCTTTTATTCGCACTGTGTATAAAATAAGGCCAAGATCCAATACCAAGTCACAAATATCGTCTATTTTTTGTCATTTACAGCAAAAAAAATTCCTCACATGCAAATGCTCTGGTGACATTGTGCATATTTAAGTATCTCGAGCATAACTGCCTAATTGCATTATGAAAATTGCAATGGCAGCATCAACGAAGAAAAGTAAAAAACTAGCGTTCGTAAGCAGCTTCAACAATTAAACATCTGTAGTTCAGTGGATTACTGATTTATCCGTGAAAATTATGTTTGATAATTTCACAGTGAAAATTATCAAAATATAATTTCACACTTTTCAATGACGAAACTACTTTTTAAAGATTTTTCCCATGTGGTACCTCAATTTTGTTTTTGCTGATAATTCTGACATTGTCAGGGCTGTTCAGAGAAACGAGAAACGCAAAGCTAAACTTGATAAATAACTTGAATTTGAAAAGAAGAAAACTTATTTCAATTCATTCAAATTACCAATCAACAAATATCGTCTCTAATTTTTTTGTTTCATTTTTACAGTCTGAAAAATACAATTCCTTCCACATGCAAAACTGCTCTTGGTGACATTTGTGCATATTTAAGTATCCTACGAGCAATAACTGCCTAATGCAATATGAAAACTTGCAATGGCAGCCATCAGCCCGAAGAAAAAGTAAACAACCTAGCGTTCGTAATGCAGCCTTTCAACAATTACACATCTGTCAACACTACTCATTTATTGTCTGTAACAATTCTCAAATAATTTTTTCTTTCTTCTAAAAAGATGTGTGACTAACAGATCCAAATGATATCTCTCTGAATCAAACACAATTATTTTCCTCTCGTAAAATACACAACTTTTAAAAATAGCGACCGCTTACATTTCACAAAGCGAGATCTAATATAAATTCGCAGTAAGTTACGGAAATAAGGTCGTATGGTTTTATTATTAAAATAAGCGATCATTCATTTTTTATGAATATAATGAATAATATCACCTCCATTTAACGTTGAGTGTCTAACTTATTTTTTCAGCCCAAGATTAATTGTCGAACTTATTTTTCAGCCCAAGACTTCTGTATTTTATGAGAAATTCGACTGATAGAGGCCACCAGTGGGGGAAACATATTTTAATATTAAAGTTAATATTAAGGAAATTTCGTTTTAACTTGTTTTTACGCATAAAATAAAAAAAATGGTTTGTTGTGTAAGATGTAATTTTATATCATCTCGTGAACTTTAAAAACAGTATTCTCACTCGTGGCTTCGCCATTCGTTAGAATACTGTTTTTAAGGCTCACCCGAAGAAATAAAATTTCATCTTACACACAAACAAACAAATATGCTCTAAATAAAAACGTTTCTCTTATTATGGTCTGAACAATACAATATTTATTACAAGTGAAACAAATGACGTTTACAGCTGAAACTGATCGAATAAATACATCTAACAAATTTAGATGTCCAGTAAACTTTGGTGAAAATGTTTCCTAAAAGCTTCAGTCATGCTTAAATAAATAAACATTAATCAACTGTACAAAAACTTTCCATACCAATCAAAATTATTAAAAAAAAAGAAACTTGCGCAAAGTATATCCCTGTTAATTGAACGCACATAAATACGATTACAAAGCACATGTTTCGTAATTCCCTAGCAAATTATTCTAAAGTTCATTTAGTATGTTTAGCAACTATGTCACGTATAAACCACTCATTACACATAACCTTTATCATAAAATCCAAAATTACTTCTCAATAGACAACTAATAAGAGTATTGAACATGCAGCAAAAAATAATAATAATAGTTAAATCGTTTTTCTACCTGATAATTATAGTTGTATTATATAATTCGGAAAAGTAAGGGTACGGAACTCTTGACATGCCTCTTTGTACTGAGCTGTAATAGTTGTGTCCCTTAGTCGATTATAATGAAGACTGACAAGTTTATCATGCTGTAATGTATTGGGAAAAAAATCAAATAGTTGATGAATAAAACTTTCTTTTCCAACGTTTTGTATTTTCACATCATGTATACATATATTATTTTATAGTTAAGCAAAATATGTAGCAGTTAACCATTTGATCGATATATTTTAGTAACATAAGATACAAATTAAAAATAAATTTAAAAAAGAAAGTCTTACCACGGCGATGTCCTCCGGTGTTCTGATATCTGTGGTATTGACTTGATGCTCTTGAGCTTCATTTTGATGTGTTTTCTTCCTTACGTAATTTTTATTTTCATTATTTAAAATGTTTCACTATCAACATATTTAATCAAACAGAGGTTTTGATTTTCACCATAGTTAATTTGTTTTTCTTTAGTCTTTACTCACATTGAAGACTTTTAATATCAAATAATAAGACATGTTCCAAAAATGTTTTTTTTTTCCAGATGACCTAAGACTGATCATAAAAACAAAAGAAGAAAAGAATGTTCTCCTTGAAGAAGAAGTTGAGGAACTAGAAAATTATGTGAAGAAAGTTCAGGACGACTCCCGTCGCCGAGAGATGGAACTACTTTCTGAGATGGACTTAATACACGGCAAAAACGAGGTAAGCTAATTGCATTATAATTTTGCCGCTGAACTGTATCACTGTTAGTCTTGTTTAGTCTAATTTTCTATGAATGTATCCTCAAGGAATTTCAATTATCTCCTTTGAATAAAAATATTTCAGTAATTCAATAATACTTATTGATCAATAAATATAAAAAAAAATGTTTACGAGTTAGAAAATGAAAGTGAAGTGTTTTATTGCCTTACACTATTTATGAACCAAAAGTACAACGTTATGTTAGAATAAAAAACTAAATAAATACACAAATACACAGAAACCAAAAAACAACTTTACTTGACACGTAAAAGGCAATGTAGCTTCATATGGATACATTATTAATTATTTTATTCAAATTAGACACATTCAGTAAAAATTTTATAAATTTCAATAAATTTCTGTGATTAAAATAATTTACTCAAGGTTGAGCATAGCACATCTTTAAATTTAATATAGTATGTATCAATATAGGTATGCTAAAGAAATCACGAACAGTTCAATGTTATAAAGTGAGCGCTTGTGCAGAAATGTATTTTGTCTGTATTATATAATTATTAACGACTTTCTTGAATATCTCAATTCTAAACGTTTCAAGATGTAAAGATTCTATATCAGCATGTTTTGGCTTTTGAGCTATTATCTCGTAAAATTCTCATTAATTGTAGAGAATTCAACAAAAACCAAAAGCCCTTTAGGCAACGGAACAATCGCATAAAACTGTTTATAATTGATTTTGTCTGATACAAAGTCCTATAAAGCCGTAATATTTGTTATAAGTACGTATAAATAACTTATAAAACAACAACAACAACAGCAACGAAAGCAACAGCAGCATCATCAACAACACATCAAAACAGGTCGAGTAAATTTAAAAAAAAACTGCCAGTTTTTTATGACACTATATATTCATATTGTGACGACCTAGTCAAAACATGTTTATTTTATATTTTAAAGAGACTTTGTAGCAATGTTTAATATTTTCTAATATAAAATTTGAGCATAATATATCTTTAATATAAGTATAAAGGAACATTGTCTTTGTTACGAAATAACAGTAAATGCATGTATAAACAAGGTAGTAGCATAGAGAATGCATGACAAGAATTTTCTGCCAATAAGAATATAACTTCAATGCTGAGAGTGAAAAAAAAAGTAAAAAACAAATTCTTCAATTTTCACACGCATAAATAATTTGTTACAAATCTCGGCACATAGTTTATGATGAATCTTAAAACTTGAATATTAGAGCATTGCAAACAAAAACATTAATTTATTCAAGGCTACCCTTGATACCATTGTTCTGAGATATATCAAAAAGATGTATTCTTGTTCCATTGGCAATTCAAAACGGTTAATTTTAAGCTCAGACAAACCTTACCCATATGTGTTGTTTTATTACAATTCTTAATTTGTTTACCTCGTAATGTGTGCATGCTAATTGCATCATATTGTGTGATAGAAACATCATGATGTATCTATATGTAATTAAGTATCGTAAACAATGGTAAGAATGCAGGCGTGAAATGATAAGGAAGGATAAACAAGTACCGTTTTGTATGTTTTGTTATGTAATTTTCGATTTTGACATCGTTCGTTCAGATGTCATTCAAAAACTTTCAGTTTTGAAAAATTCTTAATCACAAAACAACTTTACTGATCACTACCTTCTATAAATGACCGTGGTATTGCATCATAAAATATTTTTAAAAAAAGTATATTGTTGGACAAGTTTAGTCTTGTATTGACCGGTTATAACACAAATGCTTACAATGATGAAACTTAGTATGGTGAAAATGCTTCAGGTAACTTCATGTGCTAGGTTAAGGTCAAAGGTAATTGATTATTAATTGATCACAAAAATACCCAATAAGATTGATTTTTATTTTAATTCTAATGGATTTTTTTTTTAATTTTGTATTTGGTTTTTCATTTAAAAACGTGTTTAGTAAATATACTCCCAGTTATGATATATCCTGTCTCATTATGTTAACATATTTGATTATACTTAACCAATTTTCCGGCAGAAGATTGCAAGAAAACAACAACAACAACAACAACAACAACAACAAAAAACAACAACAAAAACAAACAAACAAAAAACAAAAAACTTCATGACATAAAAAACACACAACAAGCAATTGGTATCATTTAAAAGATACACTATGCTTAAATTTGATGTTACAAAATATTGACAATTGCTTCACGGTCTCTTTTTTTTTTTGTTAAAAAATTAACATGATTTTAATTAATACAAAGTAAATCTGTTATGTTTAAAATTCTACACTATAGGTAGTCACATTATCAATATATAACGTTATTAAAATGGCTGATTTTTTTTAAAGAATATACCAAATTTCCATACTTTTTTTTATTAAATCTGTTTTCAAATTAGAAATTTTCAGTTAGAATGTCAAAGATTTTTGTGTTTAAAATAATTTACTGCGTGACAAGCATAGTATATCTTTAATAGGTACACCGGAAATATTTAGGTTATAATTAATCAATACGTTCATACTAATATATTTCAATGTTGCCTTTCCTTTGTATAAAGCGTTTTGCATTTATATCATAGTTGTTTCATCATGAATGAAAATGTGTAGGCCATTGTTATAAATGTCTCTTGGAAGTTCGTATACTTAGGTTATGGTCTGGCTTACATTATATACATTCAGGAATATTAAAAAAAATATTAATGTTGTTGTAGTAACTATCGCTGCTTCCGAAGCAGAGCAATGACAAATTACTCAAAAAAGGTATGAAAAATTGCATTTTAAGATTTTCCGCTGCTTCCGAAGCAGAGCAATGACAAATTACTCAAAAAAGGTATGAAAAATTGCATTTTAAGATTTTCTGAAGACCAACTGCAAATTCTGTTTTTTGCATTATACTACAAATATGTATTTTGTGTTTCCTTATTAAAAAAGTTTATACCACACTATGACATCTCAAGGAGACTTACGATAAAGCTTTTTTTTACATTTTACTTCAAGCTCGTGTTCGTGTGCCTTGTTTGTTTATAACAAGACATAAAACTTTTCTTTTTGATCAGAAACAGTGTGTGCAATTTCGTTTTTCAAATTATCCGACTTGATAACGATTACAAGAGCTTTGTTTGAAAATGCCATTTTTTATCAACTACACTTATGTATGCTCTTTTGATAAAACAGAGTTTCAAGTTTTCTTTTGTTGGCATACTAAAAAGACATGTTCATTGTGACATGCTAATTATTGCAGATGGTTGATAACTTAGTTGTAAACATGACGTGAATGAATTGCTTTCTAAATATTTGGTTGTGCAGATGTAAACAGACTTTATGCGTTTTATATGTGAAAATAACTGACTTGGTTTTTCTTTTCATGTGTAATTTTGTGAAATAAAGATGTAGGATGTTAGAACAATTTCTTTTAAAAAATACGTGCTCAATTCTATATATTCAGTTTATTTAAAAACTTTTTAATCTCAATGTACATGCAACAAAAGCCATTCACCTATAAGTCATATTAATTTCATTCGACATTGAGCTTTAAGCCTACATTGCAATTGCTTTTTCCCCCAAAGAAAAATATTTGTTACAGTGTGCTCAAAGTTTCTGTAGGTAAAGAAGTCATTATAATAAGTGAGTGCCTATTTCTGTTTCCTTTATATCATGGCCTAGAGCGGTATTTCTTGGTTTGTTCTTTTTCCACTTTTAACAAGGAAGCGATGATTACTTTTGAAGTAAATACAGACACAAATTATCGTTGTATGGTTTATATTTGGCCCCTAGGCTTATTATAATAGTTGTATTTTCATATTTCCGTTTGCATTTTAATAAATATTGATTCGCAAAATAATCAATGGCATCAGTTTATTCCAATGGTGTACGTTTTTTATCCCTATTTTAGCAAGTAATTAACAATGTGCTTTATTTTATACTTTACAAGACAGAAACTTCAAAGAAACACCTATTTTCCTAAGTAGCGTCTTAATCGATTTATTTCGCAAACAATCGAAAACCCACAACATCACAACTTACTGAGGTGTACTAATAATAGCTCTCTTGATGCATGTAAGCAATAGAAAATGATCATCTATCCCGTAATAAGCTATAAAATAATTATATAAAAATGGATTTTAAATTTATAAAGGATGCATTAAACCGCATCGTTCTTTGTAAAAGAAATGTGTCTTTGCATGGAACTGACTATAATTATGTCCACTATCCTTTAGCGAAAGGCAATTACATGAACTCAGTCATTGTAAATGTTTATAAATTTATATATATAATGTACTGTATTCATTTGACAGTCTGGGCTTTTAAAAAGATAACTGAAAGATTTATTTGATATAATTAGAATATATTATTCGTATTGAATTTAAAATTTTAACAGAACAGAGCAACACTTTATGAACTCTAGTTACATATAGCAACACAAGAGTATACAATGTATAATATATTAATATATGATAAGTGACATGGCAGCCAACACCAAGTCACATGATCTACAAATGGTTTACTGCCTGTTTCATTTTTCATACCATTCTGTACGTCAATTAAAATAAATGAAAATGGCTATATATCAAAGATGGTGATGCAAAGTATGTACAAGTTTATAAATACATTCCAAAGATATGTCAGATAGTGACAAATGTTTTGATCTTAACTCTTTGAATTATTTGATGTTGCACGTGTTTGACACGATTCTGGCTTTTCTAGACATTTAATTTAAATGGCAGACTTACTACTTTGTAGTTGACAACGTCCTTAAATACAACTGATTTCGTAATAAGTTACGTTGCTATCTGTTCATAGCAGTAACACATCCAGATAGATGAATGGTAGAATTATATATTTGCTTCATTTTATATAAAAACATCATCGTTGCTTCTAACATAAAAAAAATCAAAATCAAAATGTGTCAATAAGGTACAAAAGATTTTCCACCGTTGTAAGTTGCCAATTGAAATAAATAAAAAAACAAAGTTTTTATAACATGTCTCTGTTACCAATTCATCAATC